CACATTTTCTAGAGGGACATCTATCACCGTTGCACTCGCATCTCATAAAGGAGACATGTTTAGAAAGCCATGTAAAATTAATGCAAGTTTAACTTTGAAAAAAACATATATCAAGACTTTATGGCAGGGTTTTTTCCCCATCCCACTGCATCTCATATTTTTAAATGTGAAAAATGTGATTGGCTTTCGGCCCTTTGTATTAAACTATGCATACATGATGCTGTTTTGTTTCTAGTTGTTTAAGCAACTTCATTAATTATAATTGGTTTATAACCATTATTTTAAACATTATGCACTTTTTTCACAGATAGTCCTGTTATCTTATATGCTTTGAATAAACGTGCATTAGTAGGCTAATATTTTGCTAGATGTGCCCTCTTGTGGCCTCAGAAGAGAAGCCCAAAGCTTTTCTTCACCCTAACTGAAATTATGCGTTTTAAATTTGAATATAATTGCCTCTGAAATGCTATCAGAGGCGTTTTCATACACTGCCCTAAGAGAGAGACGGTCTCTTTGCTTTTACATTGAATGTTTCATCACTGTAATATCTATGTATGCTATTACAGTAGATGTTTCAAAACATCAGCACAAGTGCCTTTTTATCTCAAGTCTTTGTTGAGAAGTGGGTTGTTTGAAAACCCCTTCTGTTGATTTGTGCTGTTATACTCTTAACCAATAGGGCAACACAAAATGTTCCTCATTTATATAATTGTAATACATTTTGTGCCTATTTTGGTAGCTTGTATCGGTAACACTTCAGTATAGGGACCAATTCTTACTGTTAACCAGTTGCTTATTAGCATGCTTATTATTAACATATTGGCTGTTTATTAGTACTTAAAAAGCACATATACATCCCTAATCCTACCCAATACCTAAACTTGACTAACTTACTAACTGTTAGTAAGCAGCAAATTAGGCAAAAAGTCATAGTTAATGGGTTGTAAATGGCGAGAATTGGACCTTAAAATAAAGTGACCCTTATTTCTTTCATTGCATGTTACTAAAGATTTAATTAATAAAATAGATTATTTAAAGATGTTTTATAGGAGACATTAAATGGGGAGGGTGGGGGAAATTTTGAAGGATCATCAAAGAGCTCTGGACCACAAGAACCAGACAACCACACCATGCTGGATTTGTCTGGCCAGAGGAGAACTGCCCCCCCCTGGTTTCTCACAAAGTTATTTTTTCGATTTCTGTCTCCAATGGGAGTTTTGGTTCCTTGTCACTGTCCCCTTAGTTGGGGACATTGAATTTCTGGCAATATTGTCGACTTTAGTGTACAGATACTATTTGAATTGAACGATAACATCACTGAATTCAATTATCCACTGACTTTAACTGAAAAATTGAGTGTTTACTGTTGTCCTCTTGCATTATCAACACACTATTTTCCTGTTTAATATTGTAAAGCTGCTTTGACACAATCTGTATTGTATAAAGCGCTATATAAATCAAAGTGACTCGACTTGACTCTTTCCAAAAAATAAGTCTGTCAATCTACCAAGAGGACCGTTTTTACATACACACACAGCACAAGTATTCACAGTACCCAGAGCAGCTGATGACCGTAATGGTAACACCTTGACAACTTGGTTCCTCAAAAGCAGGTTAAGGCCCTTAAACATCCCTTATTGATCCCTGGGGGAAATGTGATGATCATTTAGTGGTTTGCTAGAATGACATTTCAAAGAAGAACTAGTCAGTAATGGAAACACTAGGTACACGAGTAGACCCCTAAAATTAGCTGCTGAGCAGTGTTAATTTCATTGACGAATAATTTTCGCAAACAACATTTTTTTTTCACCGAAAACGAGACCATAACGAACTGAAACTCTTTTTGAACTACAAAAACTATGACGTAAATCTATTGACATTTTCGTCAATGAATAAAAATGAGACGAAAATTTTAGGGAGGGACGATTTGGGAAGCAATTCATTCAGAACAAATTTGCTGCGTGGTTCGGAGGAAAGCGCGTCTCACAGCGCACAAGTTCACGTCACATGAACGGAGAATTGCACGCAAAATGATGTCGAATTGTCTGTTTTGACGAGTATTCACGTAAACACAGTTGATTGTCTTAAGTGAACGTAAACAGTAGGCAGAACGTGTATCAGTACATTGCATCCAGCTGTGCGTTCGGTTTTAAAGGGATAGCAGCCTAATTTAGTTGCTATTGTCCGAGTCATTGATGTTAATCAAGCAACAAAAGAAATGCAGAAAATCACGCACTGCTCTTGACTGAAAAACTTTAGTAGCCCTAAAGATTACTCTAAATTTATTTATAGAAATATGTCTGCTTGAAAGAATGAAGAATATGGTAAACAAGTTGCTATAAAAATGCATAATTAGCCTATATGACCATTGGTATTTCATTAAAAAGAAGACCATGTTCTTGTTCTTTATGAGAAGTGGTTTTATTTAATTTTAACATAAAGGCATGTTGTGAGTCACCGCAGTTAAATCAGTGTCTAAACCTATATAATGAGTTTGGAAATTTTAGAGAAATTAATAATAAATGCACTGTAAATGAACCAATTAGATTTTAGCCGACTAAATTTACTGTAGATTTAGTCGACTAAAACTAGACTAAAACTAAAAACAATTCAGATGACTAAAACTAAATGGCATTTTAGTGAAAAGACTGACTAAAACTAAATCAATTTACTGTCAGAATTAGCACTGCTACTGAGGAAACTGTCTTTAGCACCATGTGTATTTTCTCTGATCTTAGTCTATGGTTCAGATGTTCTGAGTTTGTTCTACAAACCCAGGCAGCTGCTTTCCCTTCCTTAACCTGGGGTCCCTTTCCTTGCATCCCATGGCATAGTAACAACAGGACCGCCACACATTCAGACACAACGCATGTTCAGACTTGCACACTGACTCCCTCTTCCAGGAGTTGCTACGGCAACCGGAATCTGCAGCCCACTTTGATTGGCTGTCTGAATCTGAGCTGGGCTGCTTTCTGCCTGTTTTCTGTTTGTTTAATTTGCTTGCAGAGAACTAGAGGCATTTTAAACTGTTTTTCACGCACAAATGTTGCTAATGTTACAGTGTTACAGCACTTGGACTTCACCGTGAATGCATCTTTAATTGTTTCCATTGCCCGGTTGATTGTGTGATCTCAACTGCACAGCTTGGATAAATTAAGCCTAGTAGTTGAAAACAGAAGATGTTTTCATCTGGATCTTTCTAAAGCATTGTTCACAGGAACACTCACTCACTATGTTCCCACTATTGCTACTCGCAGTGGGTTGACGAGCTTGGCGTGAGTATAATATTGCGTGAGTTCACGGCGCAGTGCATCCAATCTTGCTTGACTGCCCAGTTCTTAGTGACGCTTGCTTATACTTGGCATGTAACATGTCACGTATCTTGTTTTGGAGAGTGGTCAGACTTAGATTTCAATGAACAATAAATAGCCAAAAAATTCTATTGAATTACACTGAAGAACAGACCCAGACCCTGTGAGAAACCACCCGTTGCAATGTGTTTTGCATGGTCAAAACCTAAGAATCAAAGTCTAGTTCCTCTTTGGTTACTCCAAGAAAGTGTCTCGAGGACATAGTGGAACCTTGAACCAAAACATTTGGACTATTCTACTATCATCAATCCTGAATGTCATTCGATCTAGCCATGTAGAAGGCCAGTGCTATCAGGTCACCCTGAGTTACTTAGAAGCAACTCAATCCCCCCTCCCCTCTCAGTCTTGTGTCTCCGTGGAAATGCCCATCCAACACATGTAAATAAACACAAGACTCTTGGAATATACAGTTCTACCCTGAAATGGGGTGTGTGTTATGACATATATTTATTTTATTTATTTTGAGATTCCAGACCACCATAGTGTTATTCACTGAGCCAGTTTCAATCTCACAACAACATAGTGATTTTAGATATTTCACCAAGCATGCGTAGGAAATGTAGGGATCTGTTAAATTCAAAGACCATATTTGTCGCCTTTGACAAGAACATTGTGAGCTAAGGTAAAATTAGCCCAGCACTTTGAATCTGGATTCTAAGAAGCAGTGGGCTGGATAAGGTGTCCGTCTGGGCACAAGGTTACCACTCTGTGCGGTGTACCAAAGTGACACTACGCTCCAAATTTCTATACAAGGAATCTGTCATTCACCCTCTCTGCCTAGAGTTCAGCAGTTCTCAGAAAATGAATAACTCTCCTTATGCTCGATGTTGCCTTGGCAGTAATGGACTCCAGATGGCTGTTGTCTTTCAAAGTGAAGTTCAAGAGAAGCGCTGTGATATCTACAATTTTCCTTGCTTATCTCCCAGGCTAGCAAAAAAGGTCCCAGAGCATTGGGACTAAACAAGACTATTATTTCTAATGGCTTAAACCCCCATTTCCTCACGTGTGTTTTATATTTTTTTCATTTAGGCAGCCTCCAGACTTTTAATTTGAGCAATTCCTTTTAAGAAACTGCAAAGATACTCTTCATACCTCTGTAAAAAGACTCTGTTAAGTGAATCCATTCATAATCTGCTGTGTTTGGATCTGCAGCCTCGGATTCTGGTAACAGTCAACTCTTTTAGAAATCCTAGCCTTTTAAAATGCTGTGCAGTGAATCCAAATAAAGCTCAAGCCAGTCCCGCAGCCCTTTCATGCACGCACCTGGACTTGTAGATTTCAGTAACCCTCCACCCTACACCAGCGGCTGCATATTGCGGTCTGTTTGCTTTAGCCTTCTTGTCCACCTTCACTGCACACTTAATCATATCCTACCAGTAAGCGCCAGCCCTAACACCCCCGCCACGCTTAGATGTGCCGTCCAAATATGCTTCTTGCTGCACCACATATATACACAAGGACCATTATTGATCTAAGCGTGCCGTGACTGTGGAGTGGGTCATGGTGTAAAATTCTTGTTTTCCTTGGAGGCTTTGAAATGATGGCATTTGGTGCTTAATGAAAAGCTAGTAGTTGTTCAAAGGTACCTGGCGGCTTTTTGATGTGAGCGTTCAACTTTCTCTCCTCTAGGCTCGAGCGCTCTGGTTGACCTGACGGAGCAGTTCACACCTCCAGAGGTAGCACCGCCCATGCTTCTCAAGCTCCTTGAGGCCATCGAGCGGAAAGGTGAATAGAATCCATCAGGCACATTTCTTTGTCACATGTACATGCACACCGAAATTATTGCATTTTCTACATGTTAATTCACATATAAACACTGTACAGGTCTAGACAACCCTACACTCTACAGAAACTTCACTGCTGGAGGAGGGCTGGATATCAGACAGTGCTTTGATAGTGGTGAGTGAAGCATTCCATTAGGTGTTGCTACTGTTAGCTATCTTAAAATGGTGCGATGCAACAAAATCTTTTTGTCCATGCTGAACTTGAAACACTGCCTTAACCAGCACAGTTGGATATTACTATTGCTACTTTTAAAAACTTCAACCTGATGTAATAAAATGTACAACTCCTCTCGCACAATTGGTGCTACAGACATGTGGTTTCTTAAGAAAAGGTGTTCTGTCAGTTGTCTAAGCAGTCAGATTTACAATTTTCTGTTAATGTTTAAACAGGTAAAATTCCATAGACTTAAGGTCTTTGCACACGGAGTCCGAAATTTTCGCACGTTAAAAAATAAATACCTCGAGCACTACATTTAAGACGTTGTGTCAATCACGTTTACACACTGCCTCTGAAACTTGTCTGTTGTAAAAAAAAAAAAACGCTCCAGGTTCGATTTTCTGCATTTTTGCATCCGTAGCAAGCATTTTGATAGGAAAGGATGACGAATACGGGGGGGGAAAAAAAAATTCGGACTGGGTGTGCAAGGACCTTTACACTGAAGGTGCTCTGAACAAATCTGAAGATCAGATTGTCACATAGACTTGGCAATGGATTTTGACCCAGGACACCCTAGCAACCACATACAGCTACTCCGAATACTTTTAGGGTGATTTCACACCTGTAGATTGATTGCTTTGTTCCGAAACAGGGATTACAATTATTGCAATGTTGCTTTTTATTCTTGGTGCGGTTCGCTTTTACACGGCAAAGTTTCTAAATGGACCAAATTTGTTAATACAAGTAAACTGTTGTCTCATTGATCAAAGTTCCACGGTTTATTTTCCGGGATTCCAATTAGCGGTCACGGCTGTCATCCGTCAGGATAGAACGACAAACACTTTTTTTTTTGGTAGCTGTCCTTGTATTAATTTATCATTTTGAGCAGGAGTCCAGGATTCATCGGGAAAACATTTTTAAAATGCACCTACTAGGAAGAAGAGCAATAAGACGGCATTATAAAATGAAAAAGTGCGCTTTTTTATTTTAAATGGCGAATACGTGCTCACCCACAGACATTCACAGGTTCGTTTTGAAGTATTAGCAAAACAACAAAGCTAATGCTTTTCACGGAACTTACGTAATTACTAGGGGTGGAACATTAAGCTTTCTCTGAAGTATTGTTTAAATGCCTGTCTTGGTAAGTATCCTATAGCAGACATAGTCGGCTGAACATACTGTATCAGTGCATTCTCTTAAAGTGACAGCACTTTCTTAATATTAATCAAACAGCAACAACAAAGAAATCACTCACTGCACTTGATTGAATAGCTTTTGTAACTAAGAAAGATTAATCTTTAATTTATACAGTCAAATATGCAATGCTGTTTTACATTTCATTACTTTATTCAATTTCTGTACCTGAAAACTAATGTCAGACCTACCTAAAAAAAAAACTTTTAACTTTACTCTATTGTATGTATTTGTGCTGTTGCTTGTAATTAGATTATTCTTATTTTCTTTATTTTTATTTGACAGTATAGTTTTTGCCTAAACATAGCACATACCGAAACGGTGACTAAAACCGTGGTACAAACCGAACCATGAGTAAGTTGAACCGTTCCACCCCTAGTAATTACCCATTATACATTGTGAAATAGCCTGGTTCGTTGGTCCGATAGATTGGATTGCTTTCTCACTACAACCGAACCGCTCCAGAGTTCGTTTTCATTCGAGCCGAGACCACCTAGTTCAGGCGATCTCGGACCGTTTGTTTTGGCACGGATCCGGGCGCGATTGCCTTGTTCACATATGCCCAAACGAACCGAGCTAAGGGGGAAACGCGCCAGGTTCCGAAACAACGAGCCAGGTGTGAAAGCACCCTTAGATACCACATCCATGTCCTGGCAACCACCCAGAACAAGCTAGCATTGTTACATTGAGCACCACTCATATTTTTAACATACTACAAATAGAAATCGTAGCTAAAGCTGGTTAAGGTGAAAATCGATATATCTAAAAGTTTGTGGACTTGTCTCTCTGTGCCTGGTGCTAGCTTAATTTCTTTCTGGCTCACTGATGTTTGTTTTCTTTGAATTAGACCCTGCCTCGGTGGATCTTGAGCAGATGGACCTTCAGATGTTGTGTGATGGTCTGAGGAGGTATCTTCAAGATCTAGCTCAGCCTGTCATCCCCTCTGTGGTCTACAGCGAGATGATACGCATTGCTCAAGGTGGGTTTCCATAGGATTACAGCATATCAGCATTAGATTAACAGCCCTACAATTCTCAGGGGGTTTCTATGATATAATAATAATCCATATTAATTAAACTATGTGAATCATTGGATTTACAGTGGGATGAGTTGCCAATTTCACAGTTTTCCACTAAACTAATGTTTAAGATGCTATGAAATGCTGTGGATTAAGTCCTTTTAAAATCAGTTCATTCATTGGTCAGCATAGTAACATTCCTATGCTATGTTCTAGCTATGCAAGAACAGCTCCTATGTTACCGGATCAGATTTTGGTAACGTATCAAGTCACCAATAAAATCTCACAGTAACAATAGCTTTTAAAAAAAAAATAGCCCACCGCTTCAGCTCTGCCTCATGCTCCACGGAGACTGCACTGCCCCCGCTGCTTGCCGTCACTCGGCCCAGTAGCCAATCAGATGCAACCTCTGCCTCTATCCAGCAAAGCAACATGTTCTCAATGGTTAAGGATTCTTGCATGAATGTGCATATTGCAATGCTTTGAAAAGCCTATCAGTGGGTCTCTGCATGCTGTCAGATGTCATTGCTTCTAGCAATGGTGCTAATTCTTTTCTGAAACACTTGTTGTAAAGGTCAAGTGATGATTCAAATAACTGATATTATCAAATCCAAATTAAAGCTCCTTATCCCGTCTTGTATCTCCGTGACTTATATGTGTGATTGTGCATATCAGGAACAGCTTATGTGGTATAATGCTGGCCAGATCCAGAAATGGTGATGAAAAGGTTTTTTGGAAGGGTCAATGAAATGCATTCTCACGGAGTAAAGAATCCGACTCCCTGCTGAGTGCTCGAGAGGCATGTGCTCAGCTGCATTTAATGAAATGGAAAACGCTGGAAGGGGAGGAGGCAAGAATTCGAGAAAACTGCAGTAACCGTTACATGACTGTCACATTTGGGGAGAAAAAATTCATTGTCAACTTGACAGAAAAACGCCATAGGATGTTTTAGGGGTTTTCCTTTCTCCTCATCAGATTAAAGCATCCTTTAGTAATGCTGTTGTTTCATATTGACAGATAGGTTTGAGCATGCCTGCACATGTTGTCTGTGTAAATGACATTGAGTGCTGCTGGTTCATCAGCAGTTCTGGTCTCAACCAAGTTTCTCTTTTTCTCATTACAGCACTACCTCCCAAGCCACCCAAACCAACGTCTGTCACTAACAATGGTATGAACAACAACATGGCTCTGCAAGACGCTGAATGGTACTGGGGGGACATCTCCAGGCAAGTACTCATCAAACCTAATGTTTGGTCAGATGAGCATGCATTTTTGTTTAATTGTTCTTAATGTTTCTTTTTGTAAAAATTTGACTCTTTCTGTTGCAGGGAGGAGGTCAACGAAAAGCTTAGGGACACTGCTGATGGTACATTTTTGGTCCGAGATGCCTCCACTAAAATGCATGGGGATTACACACTGACATTGAGGTACGTTCTCCTTTGAAAAACCCATATGTGTGTCTGCATTTTTTTTATTATTGAGGGTGCTTACCTTGACTCAAAGGGTTGATCTAAACACTACTTTTTATTGGCCGTACAGGAAAGGAGGTAACAACAAGCTGATCAAAATATTCCATCGTGATGGAAAATACGGCTTTTCAGACCCCCTAACCTTCAACTCTGTGGTTGAGTTGATCAACCACTATCGGCACGAGTCTCTCGCCCAGTACAACCCCAAACTAGATGTGAAACTACTGTATCCTGTTTCCAAGCACCAACAGGTAATCATCCTCTGATTTCACTGGAATATAGAGTGTCCCGAAGAACTTCACTCTAGATCATCAGTTGATTTCAATTGGAAACATTTAATTGGATGTATGTTTTTTGTATTTACAGGATCAGGTGGTAAAGGAGGACAATATAGAAGCTGTTGGGAAGAAGTTGCACGAATACCACCAGCAGTACCAAGAAAAGAACAGAGAGTATGACCGACTCTATGAGGAATACACTAGAACATCACAGGTGTGCCCTTAAATGTGTTTATAGTAGATGATTGACTATATGTATTTCAGTAATGTATGTTTTTCACCCAGAGCTTGAGAAAAGCCCTTCAGGAAAAGCTCACATTCTGACATGCTTTTGTCTGCTCACTAGGAAATACAAATGAAAAGGACTGCTATTGAAGCTTTTAATGAGACCATAAAGATCTTTGAAGAGCAGTGCCAGACGCAAGAAAGGTACAGCAAAGAATATATTGAGAAGTTCAGGAGAGAAGGCAATGAGAAGGAAATCCAAAGGTGAGTCCTGAAGCTGAGAACTTCCAAAGTAGTCTTTTGGCGAACATTTCAGAAGTGTAATGCAACATCTCTGCAATGATTCAATGCAGGATAATGGTCAACTATGAGAAGTTAAAATCGCGCATCAGTGAAATTGTGGACAGCAAACGTCGTCTTGAGGAAGATCTGAAGAAGCAAGCGGCGGACTACAGAGAGATCGACAAGCGGATGAACAGCATTAAACCTGACCTCATCCAGCTCAGAAAGACCAGGGATCAGTACCTCATGTAAGTAGCTCATACTCCATAGGTTCTGCACTTCAAATTTAACACGCAGGACACAATCTTGCATTCAGAAATGACTATATGGAGTACAATGTAATGTAATAAACGATTCTCTTTTTTTTTTGCTGCCACAGGTGGTTGACACAGAAAGGGGTCCGACAGAAGAAACTCAACGAATGGTTGGGAATCAAAAACGACAACCAGGACGAGTGAGTATTCTGCTTCTCATGTTATAGCCACTTGACATTTAAAAGTTTTCCTGGTTGCTAAATCAAACTCTCCACTTCTGCGCTAGTCAATACTCAATGGTGGATGACGATGAAGATTTGCCACACCATGACGAACGCTCCTGGAAGCTGGGTAACATTAACCGCATCCAGGCAGAGGCCCTGCTGCGGGGCAAGAGAGACGGAACATTCCTGGTCAGGGACAGCAGCAAAGCTGGATGTTACGCCTGTAGTGTTGTGTACGTACCACTTTTTTGTGCTTGTGGGGCAGCATCAGTTCACATGTTGGTTGTTTTTACATGGACATCTCTTGACATTCTGTGCAATTCATTGACTACTAGACCAGTTGCATGTAGAAATGGGAAATTGCAAAAGGCACTGATGACTAAAACCCATCTCTTTGTCTTCTCGCAGTGTGGATGGTGAGGTCAAGCACTGCGTCATCAACAAGACACCCACAGGATATGGCTTCGCTGAGCCCTACAACCTTTACAGCTCTCTGAAAGAACTGGTCTTGCACTACCAGCATACGTCCCTGGTTCAGCACAATGACTCTTTGAATGTCACGTTAGCATACCCAGTCTACGCACATCAGAGGCGGTGAGGACTCGTGAACACACCCTTGGGACTCGTTACAAACACGGGAGTTGAGAAAGGGCCTCCCCTCGAATGGAGACGCCTCCAGTAAGACCGCTACCGAGGGCTGCTTTTTGCCTTGAAACGACCATGTCGGAAAGCCAAGAAAGCAAAACCCAAAACGAACATTTCAGCCACTGAGACTTTTGCCAGTCTGAATGTAGTTTTCTTTGAGCGGAAACTGCTAAAATTGAACTCTCTCTCCCAAAATGGAGGACTTCGGAGGCCTTTTCCAAATGGTGCTTGTTCATTTCATAGCTTTACCCGCTGCTGGAATGTGGAACATTGATTAAACCTCTAGAGTGCATCTTTTTTTACCTCTTCTACCCCCCCCAACCTGCTGTGTGTGTGTGTGTGTGTGTGTGTGTGTGTGTGTGTGTGTGTGTGTGTGTGTGTGTGTGTGTGTGTGTGTGTGTGTGTGTGTGTGTGCGCGCGCGCGCGCGCGAACGAGAGAATGTGACCAAAACTCAAACTATCTGAAAGCTATCGGGATGTCCGACATGTTTCATTTTCATGAACAGACCGTGGAATCAGCTGATCAAATGTAGCAAGATGGCACTTTCGAAACAGTATCTACTTCTTTTCCTGTAAGAGACTCCTACACAAACATTGATATGACACGTCTCGCCTGAGAGGAGCAGCGCGACGAGAAGCAAACGAGATGCTTGGCATTTCTTTTGTGAGCATTATAGTGACAGACTCTAAATCCATTTCTGCTTTATGGACTGGCAGTAAAGGAACTGAAACGGACTTCACGCTGTACATACAGATAGCATCAAAAGCTACGTGTCAAAACCATATTGTACCAAAAACGCAGTTCCTTCTCAGTTGTATTCTAATCTGCTATGCAAATTCTGTATTTTCCATCTTCTCTGCAGAGTTGTGATTTTATTTTACATGTTGCTACCCATAATATAAACTTGTTTTTATTGCATAAAGTCTTTTTTTATGTATCTAAGAGGATATTTTAGGTGTCAAAGCACCAAGAAGGGTGGCTTCAGTTTTACAGAAGAAGTGTGGAAAAAGTACTTTATTACATATTTCTTTATCAGCCGCTAGTAAAACTTAAGCGAGAGTATTTTATTAGTCTTTTTCACTTGGAGCTGATTTTCTCTTGGGCAGAGCCTGGAGGACATTAGTGCTGCTTCTGTCTACAGTAATGGTGATGTATATCTGAACATTTTCACTAGAACAAACATAAACGAATAAACAATGACATTTGAAATAACTGCAATTGAATGATTAATGTCATGACAACATAATACTGCAGGTTCCTAATCCAGTATAGAGGTTTATTTTGTGATATCTTTCCCATAATCGAAAGCGTTTCGATTTGATCCTCTGGAATGATGAAAAAAAAAAAAAAACATTAATTTCGGTGACATAACTCCCTCTCATTCCTTGTCAACATAGTATTTTTTCTGTATCAGAAAATCCTTAATAGTGTTTACATAGATGGATCAACTCAGTTCGACTAGTACCCAACGTTCTAGTTTGCACCACATTCTCTTAAACAAAAAAGTTTATTACTTGGATGCAACAAAGTTAGGGGAACCTACCAGCTTGACATTCAAAGCTCGCTACAGTATTTCTGATTTTATCATCACTGACATCAGTATTGCTTTTGCCTTCCCCTCTCATCTGCATTGCAGTTACACTTGACAAATGCAAATTTGCATTTGATGTTCCGCATAAATAAACATCAATGTGACCACATTAATTAATGTTATTTTTCATGTAACTTTTGTTGGTCAACTCTGTTCCTATATTTTGAATTTGTTTGACTCCTTATTTTAACTAGGCCTGATTGCCTTAAAATTAGTCAGTTATGTATTTTTTAAGCAGAGAGTACTGCTGAATTTCACCGTTTTGTAAGTATATATTTGCTCTTTAATGTAAGATTTTCAAGAGGAATGGTAGTTTTTCTGCTACATCTATACGCACAATTGTCCTATACTATTATGATTAGCATAAAGTTCTCAAATGATACGATGGGCTCTCTCTGAGTCCCCTTCTTACTGAGTAAACTAGCACATGGTTTGAAGTAAATATTTGAACATCACAGGCCAATTCATTTCAAACTTGTACTGCTTGTGATTTTGAAAGTCTTGAGAATCAAGAATCAGGAAGTTTACATGTTCTAATTCTTAGATTACATTTTTTTTTTAACCATTTTTTTTTTATTGAATCTCTGCAAATGTCACTCTAAACCCATACTTAATTACAATATTTTAAAAAAGCTAAACTTTCATGGTAATTTATCTGGGGCTTTTTTCTTTTTGTCCCCCTTCTGCGTTGTACTCTTTTCACCTCTCGCTTAAAGGCCACAAACTTCCGTGTTTCACATTATCATGGTAGTCTTCTTTCTGCAGCCCCTGTTCTCAGAATTTGTTGCATTTTGTGAATCTATTTTTTTTTTCCCCTCTTTTTTTGAAATTGTATAGCATTGGTTTACAGACATTGGTTAATCTCGTTTTCAGCATTCTGGTAACAGTGTGTTCCAGGTCTAAAAAAAAAATGCTTCAGATTTGTACTGGCTTTTTATTTTATTTTAAAGTTAAATAAAATGATGTTTTAGAAACTAAAAAAGTCTTTAGGTTTTATGATCATTTCTGGCCTTTTCTATAGATGTCTATAATTTGACAGTTGACTGTTGAACTCCCTGTACCGTTTCAGAGACTTTTGAGGTTATGCAAATGTTGTGGTGTGATATGATGGCACGGCATTGATGTCATCAGTCACTAAACGGGCTGAAGGTTACAGAACTTTGTTCTCGCATTGAGAAATGCAATGGGTTTACTTGATTAGTTAGTTGCTTTTATTTTATTTTTAGTTCTTTCTTGGCAAACAAATTGTGAAGACATTTTATTAAACAAGGGCCTAACTAGTTTTACCTCATTTCAATGGTGGCAATCCAACACAGTACTAACACTGTTTGATTTTCAAAATGTTAAAACCTATTGACATTACCATGCCTTGCATAGGTCCAATAATATGCAAATTTATTGTCAATTATTATTGTCATGACAATTTGAATAGGAAAATTAACAATGTGACTAGCTTCAAACATATGAACTTATGAACATATGAACCAAAATATCTAAGAGTTTAATTTGAGACCATCTCAGCAACGTCAGTAATAAAAGATAAAACAAAAGAAAAACTTTTGTCCTCCCCTAATAAATTAATAAGCCTATATATTGTACTCTTCTAATTATACACTATTATATGGTTTGTAGCACATGATAGGATAGGCTAGGCACACGATAGACCTAAAATGGGTCCCTGCTTTCAGTAGTATGTACAATAGTGCAACTACATTTTAGTTTAAAAATAACATTTTGAGATATGTACTTAGTAGTTAAAGCACCTAATATAAAGTGACACAACTTAACTGACTTTGCATGGATACACTAATATTTAAATTCTGGCCGGAAAACCTGATAATTATTTTCTTGGCTGATTTGGCCGATATTAAAATATTTAATGAATTTAAAAAAATGTAAATGCTACAGGTCTGTATAGATCTTACTGCATTTTAATGTAAATTTGAAAAATGGAAGAATGTTGGTAATCAAACAGTCGCTGGTAGCCACTGTTCTACATCAATGCTATGGATGTCAATGGCTACCACACTCTCAGAAAAAAAAGGTACAAAAGCTGTCACACACATTAGACATATTGTCTTCTCACTTAAAACACCCAACTGTGTGCATTAGGGCAGAAACGGTCTCGCATAACTTTCTGCATAACTGAAGTATTTAGTCATAGTCATATTAATGAATTGCTGAAAGAGGGATTATTTTGAGAAAGAGAATGTATTTATGCATTTGTGTCCCCTCTAACAATAATATGTACATTCTAAAATCGAATATCAAATGTGACTGACATCAAAACAGCAATGATTTTTGCAATTATTACCTTTTTAAGAAAAGAATAACATTAAAAGCCACTTCTCAAGTCTTGCATCATCAAAGTTGCGACCTACTTGCGTCGTACTATAGGAATTGGTTGACCATGTAGTTCTTTACCACACCACTCTGTAGCAAGAGAAGACGGAAACAGTAAACCACAGTCATGAGCAGCGTCAAATGCACTGTTCTCAGGAAAAGGGAAGAGTGTAAAACCGTCTTCTCACATCATTAAAACAGGCCACAGCTACAAAGTTGACTGATATACATGCATACAATGCATTTACCACCATGTCATGTAGATTGTAACAGGTTCAGAATGGCATGCAAAAAAAATCTAGCGTATGACTGACAGACTGTGAGATTTCTTCACTTGTGCAACATGTACACAGAAGCCATCTGACTGTGTTTGTCAGTATAGGAGGATATGTCGCTCTTTTATTTTTCACAGTGATGCAACAGGGTGGTGTCTTTATATCATACCTCTGCAACAACATTCTTACCATATAGACTGCACTATGCACAAAAGTGTGGATTCAATATAGCTGCAAGCAGCAATTACCGGGGTTCAAGCACTTTAAGGCCTTTAAGGTGGTCTTGGCCAACCTGGATGTATGGCTGACAGTAAAACACATCCAATATGGAGAATAGGCTTACAGACACACACAGAAAGAACAACACTAGTTCTAGTTCTGGTTTTAAAATAATCGCAAACACTTAAAGAACAGTTTGATTGACAGCAGTGATCCTAGAAGCAAAGTTGTTCAGAATGAGGAGATCTATCATATGGTATGAAGATATAGTGTATAAGTGAATATATGAACATTTCATTGCAATTTGAGGTAATTTACTATAGAAATAAAAAAAAATTCCCAGGCTGTTTTTAACTGTTATAGCTCCACCATGTTATAGCTGTTATAGCGCCACCATGAAACCATGTTTTCGCCAAGTTTTGAGCTTTCGTTTAGGTTTTATAGGCTTTTGGGTATATTTGGCCACACCCCTTTTAAAATGACACCATTATAGCTAACCAAAGGACAAAATTCTACTTGTTTTAGATAACTATTGATCTAGAGAATACAGAGAATATTACTGCAGTGGTTTGATTAAGACTGAGCAAAAAACCTAGGACTAGTTCGCAAAAGTAGGTTTTTAACATAATTGAGAATATTTAATGAATGATTTGATTGACAGCATTAGTTCCAGAGGCAAAGTTGTTCAGAATGAGGAGATCTATCATATGATATGAAGATCTTGTGTTTTTGTGAATATATGTACATGTTCTACAATTTCACTTCATTTTCTACAAATATTGAGTTTTTGAGGCCTTTTCAGCTGTTATAGCGCCACCTATGGTCCGATCTCCATGAAACTTTGCATGCTTGCTAAGAGTCATCTGACACGTTTTCACCAAATTTCGTAAGTTTGGAGTTTTCGTTTAGGTTTTATAGGTTTTGGGGTATATTTGACCACACCCTTTTCTAAATGACCCTGTTAAAGGTAACCAAAGAACAAAATTCAACATTTTTTTGATAATTATTGATCTAGAGAGTCCAGAGAATATCACTGCAGTGAGCGAAAAACCTAGGACTAGTTCGCAAAAGTAGGTTTTTAACATAATTGAGAATATTTAATGAACGATTTGATTGACAGCATTAGTCCCAGAGGCAAAGTTGTTCAGAATGAGGAGATCTATCATATATGAAGATCTTGTGTTTTTGTGAATATATGTACGTTTTCCAATTTGAGGTCATTTTCTACAAATATTGAGTTTTTGAGGCCTTTTCAACTGTTATAGCGCCACCTATGGTCCGATCTCCATGAAACTTCGCATGCTTGCTAAGAGTCATCTGACACGTTTTCACCAAGTTTCGTAAAGTTTGGAGTTTTCGTTTAGGTTTTATAGGTTTTGGGGTATATTTGACCACAACCTTTTCTAAATTACCCTGTTAAAGGTAACCAAAGAACAAAATTCAAAAATGTTTTGATAATTATTGATCTAGAGAGCCCAGTCCAGAGAGTGCAGTGAGCGAAAAACCTAGGACTAGTTCGCAAAAGTAGGTTTTTAACATATATGTGAATATTTATTTAACAATTTGATTGACAGCAATGATTCCCGAGGCAAAGTTTCTCATTATGAGGAGATCTATCAAATGATATGCATATTGTGTGGATGAGTGAAAAACCACGTGATTACTGAGCCATAAAACTCGTTAGCACCAACTAGTGGTCGATTTCTTTAAAAATTCTTACAGACCTTTAGGGCCATGAGTCGAACATGCCCATTTAGTTCGGATCTGGCAAAAAACCTAGGACTAGTTCGCAAAAGTAGGTTTAGAATTTACTTCAAAATGGCGGGAAAACCGGACCTCGTAGAGCAAATCTAAACTTCTAGGCTTTTGTCCGTCTTGACCCAAGGATTCCTAAAGTGTAAAAGTTTTGAGTCTACAACAAACGGTCTTGGAGTTATGAGCAGTTTTGCGTTTTTGATCGCTGTAGAGCCCCCCATAGGCCGATTGGGGCGAGTCTTTGCGCCTGAGTAGCGAGCCAGACTACTACCTTTTGACCAAGTTTCAGCTCTCTAGGCCTTACAGTTTGTTCTGCACAATCAGTTTTAGGGAAGAATAATAATAATAAAAATCCTAACAATTACAATAGGGTTTCAGCACTGCATGCTTGAACCCCTAATAATAACAATGCTACAGTTTACAATGACATTTGAAAGAATTGTGTGCCCTTTTGTTCCAGCATGACAATAGCCCTGTGCACAAAACTAGGACCATATAAAAAAGTCTGTTGAGAACCTGAATAGCCTGAACACTCGTGGTTACATTTGCTAAATTTAAGCAAAATTTCACAGACAAAAAAAAAAACAATACATTTTCCATTGTCAATAGTGTAACGGTGTATGAGGTAGCAACGGCAAATGTGCATCTTAAACATTGAAGCCATTAATTTGTTTAACAAATACATCAGAAATGTGTGGTTTCTGATGTAACCATCATTACCCTCCAGCAATGTAATTACCACGATCAAGGTCCAAAAATGTAGCAAGGATATCTGTAAAATACTTTTTACACGCAAAGAAAACAAAATTAATGACTTTATTCAACAAGTCGTCTCCTCCGCATCACCCTAGCGCCATTTTGGAGAGTATCCATTGAACGTAAACAGCGTATGCTGTTCTGTGTCAGCTGCGCCACTCATCCGCCAACGTATCCACATGGCGCTGCTGACACAGAACAGCTTATGCTGTGTACGTTTAGTGGATACTCTCCAAAATGGCGCTAGGGTGACGCAGAGGAGACTAATTGTTT